ATTTCCGGTGCCGATGTGACGGTGTCTGGATGTCGCAGGTGTACAGACTGTAAAGCTTTCTAAGGCAAATCAGTCATATGCGATTTTGGGCGATACAAAATAAAATCAATTGAAATTATTAAACACACACAAACAAGCTCGCACACACACACAACTCTGAACAATGTGCAGGAGCATTTAAATGAAATCCTCCTGCTAACAATGCAGCACGGCTAACAGAGCAACACAAAGGCTAACAGAGCAACACGAAGGCTAACAGAGCAGCACGAATGCTAACAGAGCAGCACGAAAGCTAAAAGAGCAGCACGAAGGCTAAAGAGCAACACAAAGGCTAACAGAGCAACACGAAGGCTAACAGAGCAACACGAAGGCTAACAGAGCAGCACGAATGCTAACAGAGCAGCACGAAAGCTAAAAGAGCAGCACGAAGGCTAAAGAGCAACACAAAGGCTAACAGAGCAACACGAAGGCTAACAGAGCAACACGAATGCTAACAGAGCAGCACGAAAGCTAACAGAGCAGCACGAAGGCTAACAGAGCAACACAAAGGCTAACAGAGCAGCACGAAGGCTAACAGAGCAGCACGAAAGCTAAAGAGCAACACGAAGGCTAACAGAGCAGCACGAAGGCTAAAGAGCAACACGAAGGCTAACAGAGCAGCACGAAGGCTAACAGAGCAGCACGAAAGCTAAAGAGCAACACGAAGGCTAACAGAGCAGCACGAAGGCTAACAGAGCAGCACAAAGGCTAACAGAGCAGCACGAAAGCTAACAAAGCAGCACGAAGGCTAACAGAGCAGCACGAAGGCTAACAGGGCAACACGAAGGCTAACAGAGCAGCACGAAGGCTAACAGAGCAGCACAAAGGCTAACAGAGCAGCACGAAAGCTAACAAAGCAGCACGAAGGCTAACAGAGCAACACGAAGGCTAACAGAGCAGCACGAAGGCTAACAGAACAGCACGAAGGCTAACAGGGCAGCACGAAGGCTAACAGAACAGCACGAAGGCTAACAGGGCAGCACAAAGGCTAACCCAGTTACGTTAGCACTAAAGCTAACCCGGTAGCATTAGCACTATATAGCGCGATACGTTAAACCAGAGCGCAGCCTGATGAGTGAACTAAGAGACTAATACCATGAAAGTAAATGACGATAATGTTCCTATAAAGTGTCCGTGGTTCTCGTGGTGAGTTCATGGTCCCCTCACTACGCTCCATTGTATTTACACAACATGTGGAATAAAACAACCATTTCTTTCATTTTTTGAATCTGTGGAATCTGTTTCAGAGGCAAAGAAACGACTTCCTGTCTCATCACTAAGTGGAAAAACCGCCACGCTGCGTTTGTGAGTGTTAATTGTGTTGAGATGAGAGGAAAGCAGGAAGAGAGCATCGTTATCAGGAAGATGGAGGCAGCAGGAGTGATTTTCCACTAAAGAGTGTGTGTGTCTGCGTGTGTGTGTGTGTGTGTGTCTGCGTGTGTGTGTCTGCGTGTGTGTGTGTGTGTGTGTGTGTCTGCGTGTGTGTGTGAGCCTGCAATCCAATCAGATTCATTCACATTACATTTGATCTTTCGGGTAACTTGAGCCTGCTGCTGTGTTTCAGACGTGTGTGTGCGTGTGTGCATGTGTGTGTGCGTGTGGATCGATGCGCTTTAGTTTAGAATCTTAAACATTAGGACACCGTGTACAGCGTGAGGTAGAACATCTGTTAAGCTCTCACATTGAAACGAACATCTGGTCAAACTACAAATATAAAAAACTAATTGATTAAAGGAGCGGCTCCTCGACCAATCAGATGTCTGTCAGCGTCCAATGAGCAGCTACCGTGCGTGCGTGTGTGTGTGTGTGTGTGCGTGTGTGTGTGTGTGTGTGCGCTCTATGGGACCATGTTGTGTTCTGCAGGTCACCAGGTGTTTCAGGTTAAAGCGTGAGCGTGTTAACTGGTGACCACAGAGACTTAAACATATTAAAGAGAACTTTTTATTGACATGATTTAATGATATGATCATGTTTAGTGCTTCTTACAGCACATCTCAACAAACGCCTGCTGTCACACAACAAAACCAAATAGTAGAGCTATAAATACCTCCTCCTCCCTCCTCCCCCCTCCTCCTCCTCCCCCTCCTCCTCCTCCTCCTCCCCCTCCTCCCTGGACACGTGAACTCTGACAGGCATGATGGCTCTACATGGTGGACACGGTCTCCTCTCTGCTGAGCGAACACAAACCAGCCAGTGGAGACGGAGAGTCGGGTGAGACAGATTGGACACGTCGACCAGCTGAACACGGCTGTCTGTCTGCGCGTGAGACGGATACACGACGGCTCCCGAGCAAAGTGCCATTAAAGTTCGTCACATCTAAATAGTGTTTTGAGTTTATTTCGCTTCCACCTCCGGGAGCCACAGAGTGCTGCTGTTTGTCAAAACTCAAATATAAGGTGGAGAACCTCAAAGTATTCAAGTTCTCTCAGAAGACCCTGACAGCGCTGCAGAAACAACAGTG